GCTACCCGCACCCCTGACCTGCCCTCACCGCGCCCGGACTGGTGGAGGGAGGAGCCAAGGTCGGGATGCCTACGGAAGAGCAGACTGCAAAAAGCCCAAACAGAACCCAGGGAGCCTGCGCTGAGCCTGCGGGGAAAGGAGGCTTGGCCAGTGGGAAGGAACTGAGCCTGGGGCTGCGGCCCTGCAGGCTCCTCCTGACATTTGGACCTGATGAACTCTTGCTGGAAAGTGACTTTTGTGTGCCTGAGCCTCTGACTCCTGTTCTCTCTGCTGCTTTTTAGCAGAATGGGTGCTTTTGGACCGGGACTTGTATGTGGGAGTGGGGGGTCGCCCTGGTGTGGTCTGATGGCACAGTGTGGGGTCCCCTGCTCCTGCCTGTGCTCTGGGAGAGGTGATCGGCAGCAGCCAAATAAAAGGGAAGCGAGCATCTCTGTCTGCTCCCAGCACTCCGCTGGGCCCGGTGGCTCAGGGTGGCAGAAGGGCCTGAGGGACCTGAGGCCTGGGGCTCCTCCCCCTGACATGTTGGGCCCCACCCTGAAGGCCCAGGTAGGTCCTTGGGGGCACTGAATCATTGCAAGACCCGAGGGGAGGCTGAGCACTGCGAGGGGCACCCTGGGAAAGGACATTGTTGGGAATAGGGGAGGCCAGGCCTGGAAGGCTGAGGATGTGATCAGCCCCAACTCTGGACCCTGCACATGTGCTATCTGCCTCCAGCCCCAGGGAGGACAGCGATGGAAACAGTCTGGGGCAGTCCCCGAGAAGGAAGCTGAAGGTAGGGCCCAGAGTGGGGCTCAGTGACTCCTGCCTGTACCCCCAGTGATGAGATGGAGCTCCCAGGGAACCAGTGTAGCCGGGGCCACTGTGTGGAGAGGTGGCCTTAGAATCCGGGAAGGATTACCGGGAGGAGGTAAAGGGAAGTGGGGCCTCAGGCCAAGGCTCCAGAGGAGGAAGTGAGAGGCACAGCTAGCCCCCTGCCCCCAGAGATGTCTGGAGAGCCGCTGTCATCTAAAATGAACACTCCTGTGCTAGCGTCTGGCTCACTCGGGTGGGCCTGGCTGCTGGTGCAGGTGCTGCTTGCTGGGGGAGGACCCAGATGTGCCAGGGGCAGGCTGAGAGCTCTCTGGTCTCCTTGGAGAGCTGGGCTCTTGCCAGTTGGGGGAAGAGTCACACAGCGCAGAATTGGGGGCCCCACAGGAGCTGGAGAGATGCTCTTAGCCCTGGAGGAGGGTTCCCCAGAACAGCTGAGGTGTGGCTCACTGCCCTCATTCAAGGTGTCTTTGCTTGCTGGCTGGTGCACTTGGCTCACAGACCCCCAAGTTCACAGGGCAGGGGGCTGGGGCACAGATCACAGGAAGGCTTTGACTCTGGGTCATCAGGGTCCTGGGGTCCAGCCAGGAGCAAAATGTGGGACTCTGGCCCCAGGCCTGCCCACTGAGCCTTCCCTGTCTGAGAGGCAGCACCACAGCCTGAGGGCGCACAGGAAAGAGACAGTGAGCCTGGGATCCAATCTCTGCTTGTCCACGGGCTACCTGTGTGACCCCTGGCATCACGTAACCTCTCTACTCCTCTACTTGCTCACCTCTGTCCCAGGGGACTGCCGCCGGGTAGCTGGGAGGATTAACATTCCTTCAAAATGCACAGTTTCTGGCAAATAGAAGGTGTCCCATAAATTGTGACTGATTATATATTATTACAGTCTTACGACAGACCAGCCTGGACAGTGCTTCTGCCTTGCTCCAGCCTGAGGTTTTTATTCTCTGCTCCCCCAAATTCCAGGATAGAAAGAGCTCAGGATTCTCTCGCCCAGCTGTGCCTTCAGCACCCGGGCGGTGAGGGTGCCCCCCGAAGGTGGAAGAGTGAGTGTCGCCCAGAAGTGTGAGGTCAGCAGAGGCTGTGAAAGTACCATTGACCCTTAACAATGTGGGAGGGTTAGGGGCTCAGGCCACACCCACAGTAAAATATCCGCCTGTAATTTACATCAGTCCCCCACATATTGTGGATTCCCGCCTGAAGATGGAAAACACAGTGGACCCTCGAACACCACAGGTTCAAACTGTGGGGGAACCACTTAAACACAAGATTTTAAAAAATCCTTGTCTAGCCCTAACCGGTTTGGCTCAGTGGATAGAGCGTCGGCCTGCGGACTGAAGGGTCCCAGGTTCGATTCTGGTCAAGGGCATGTACCTTGGTTGCGGGCACATCCCCAGTAGGGGGCGTGTAGGAGGCAGCTGATCGATGTTTCTCTCTTATTGATGTTTCTAACTCTCTATCCCTCTCCCTTCCTCTCTGTAAAAAATCCATAAAATATATTTTTTTAAAAAATCCTTGTCTCAGAGAATGCGTGAGGTTCAAACCCAGTTTTCAAGCCTAAAAAATCAATAAAATATATTTACCAAAAAAATCCTTGTCTCAGAGAATGCATGAGGTTCAAACCCAGTTTTCAAGGGTATTTCTCAGTCTCCTCACTTATCAGCTGAGTAATCTTGGCAAATCGCCTCACGATGTTGAGCCTTGGTGTTCCCATCTGTATAATGGATTTACATAATGAGACTTACATCATAGGCTGCTGGGCAGACTAAATGGGCTAATGCATTTAAAGCACTTAGCATAGTGCCTGGCCCAGGCAAGCACTCGCTGACTGGAAGCTATTAAGACATATTCTATTCACAAGGCTGGAATAAGGAGAGGATGAACGGGAAGGTAAGTTTATAAACTAGAGTCCAGAACATATTGGATACTATTGTTTTATCAGGGCTATGTGTCTGAGTGCACACACCTGCATATTTGTCTGCTGACGTGCATTTGCCTAGCATCCTGGGGTTTTCTGAGATGCGCAGATTATGTTCATGCTTATATAGATGTGTGGGTGTGTGTATGTACTGACCTAACAGGCACCCCCTCCTCTCCCTGAGGCTTTAGGGGATCCTAGGCCAGAATACCTTTAATTGTGTGCCTTCCAGGCTTTGTGGAACCCTTGCTTGATTTTTACAAAACATATTTTTATTGATTTCAGAGAGGAAGAGAGAGAGAAACATCAGTGATGAGATAGAATCATTGATTCGGCTGCCTCCTATACACCCCCCAACTGGGCCTGGAGCCCGAAACCCGGGCTTGTGCCCTGACCAGTACTCACCGTGACTTCCTGCTTCATAGGTTGATGCTCAACCACTGAGCCACACTGGCTGGGCCTTGCTTGATTTTTTTTTTTAATCTACTTCCAAGACCATACCATTCTTCAAGATAACTGATTTGCTGTGGAGAGAAGATAAATTTGTGAGTGTCAAAGAAATGGAAGTTATCAACTGAGACCAGATAGGTTTGTCCAAACATAGCAAAAAACAGTACAAGAGAGGTATTAAGTGAACATAAAATGGAAAGTACTGGAGAGAGAAAACACATGTAAGACAGGGCTGCTAAAGTTATGTCTCAGAGAGATGAAGGACTGATGTACACAAAGTCAGAAATGGTGTACCTGTAAGGTTAGCACTAGCGGCCCTCTCAAACAGTGTTCCTGGGGAGAGAGAGTTAACCTTGCAAGGGGAGAGGGTGATAGAGTGACACACTCCCAGCAACTTCACACTCACAAAGGGCCTCCGGCACGCGGTCTCCTGGCTTCTCTTGAAGTCTGTGCCTTCCCACCCTTCCCTCACACTCCCTGCCTCCACCACAGGGAACAGCACCTCACCTCTCTAGCAATGAACGAGACATACCAGCAAGAAGAAATAACAATGACCAGACCCAGTGTTGTCTGGGATGTGGAGAAAGGGCTCACTTACAGATTGCTAGTAATGTGCATCTGCTCCTTTATGGTAAAGAACAACTTGGAAAAATCAAAGTCAAAATACTTCAAGGGGCCTGGGCAGTGTGGTTGGGTGTTGACCTATAAACCAGGAGGTCACAGTTTGATTTCTGTCAGGGCACATGCCCGGGCTGTGGGCTCAAGCACGAACTTCGTGCACTGGGCCTATAATATAATATAATATAATATAATATAATTTTATATAAATCCCAAAATACTTCAAGGAAATAATCCCAAAGGAAAGCAAATTTGCAGAAAGGCAGTCCCAGCGGCACTGTACCTAATAGTGAAAGATTTGAAACCACGCGGACGCCCGACCTGAGAGGCCTGGAGCGCTCACTCTGCCAGAAGGAAGGTCGAGGGGAGTTGGGAAGGCAGGTCACAAATGCTCTGTGCCCACTGGCTGTACCGGTGGACAAACATGCAGGTGCATGGACAGACCTTGCGGGAATTGGGAGGGACATGAACTATCCATGAGGTGCTTTGTAACTGGTTGTAAATGGTGAAAGATTCGTCTCGTTAGGGCACCTTCCAAAGGGGAGGAGGGACATGTTTCATGCAAGGACGGTCAGGATGAAGAATTTAAGTGGATTCCTTTGGAGGAGCCCCGCCGTACAGGTGTGAAGCCGGGGTGCTTGTGTTGGGAACATGATCACATTGAGTTTTCCTGACACTTGGCGAGTGTGTGTGTGTGTGTGTGTGTGTACAGACACCAGAAGGCCGTCACCCCTAGAGCAGGGTGAGCTGGGCCCAGGAAGTCCTCAGTGAGAAGACGAATTTGCTTAATGATTCCTGCTCTGTCCGCCCCATAGGGTTTCTGGATACCCGAGCCCAGGGCAGAAAGGACCACGGACACAGACCCGGAAGTATACATGAGGGGCTGAATTCTTCTTCCCCTCGGATTAGGCTCCAACTTACCCACCTTTCTGACTTTGCCTCCCTGTGCACCCACCACCGAAGGGCACCCCCAGGATGCAGGTCCACTCTCCCCTCCACTGCTCACACCTCAGCATCCTCCGTGCTCAGGGGAGCTGGGCTGGGGCGGGCAGAGGTGGAACGAGTGGTGGTGTGGACACGCCTTGGGTGCCTGGTTGGAGTTTTCATCTTCCTCCAGTTCATCTGGCCACCCAGGCACTGGGCTAGGAGCTGGGTGCATGCCTGCCCCCCATGACCCCATAGCCCAGCGGGGAAGGGGGCAGAGAAGGGAAGGATTTTCTTCAGTTCCCTGTGCCCGCACCAGGGAGAGGCCAGCTGCAGACCAGGAGGGCCAGCCACCTGTCTAGCTGGGCAGGGCTCACAGCTCGGACCCCCGAGGCGAAGGTGGAGGTGGAAGAGCTCAATGCTCTCCTTCTAAAGGCTACAGCTGACCCTGTGGCTCCACAGAAAATGGGCCCAGGGTTCCAAGATCCTCATGTCAAAAGTCTAAAATGCCTGGGTTTTCTTTTTTGTGAGAAATAGATTTAAAAACAAAACAAAACACGTGCTGAGCCAATACTGTGCAGGCCAAGCTCACTTTGAGTGATGAATACGGCCCATGGGCCTCCACCTAAGACTTCATCTGGGGTGTGAGGGAGTGGGAGCTGGAGCAGCTGGCTGGGTTGGCTCAGCAGCTCTAGAGCAGAAACTGGATACTGCCTCCCCCTGCCTCCCGGAGGGAGTGGGAGCTGGAGCAGCTGGCTGGGTTGGCTCAGCACCTGCCTCCCCCTGCCTTCCCCCTGCCTCCCCCTGCCTCCCCCTGCCTCTCCCTCTCTCCCTGGTCTCCACTCCATCTCTGGTCTTTCCCCTCAGCACCACCAGGCCACTAGATGGCACCATGAGCCCAGCACCTCACAGAGGCAGAGCAAACCTGAGTCCCCAAGTCCTGAAGGCCGGCCCACCCAGCAACATCACAGCCATGTCCCACCCTGGGGACGTCCTGGCCTTTTCTTTGCTGAGTTTTCATTAAGTCAAAAAGTCCCCTTCATGTCAGGTTCGTTCTGTCTCGAGGCCAGCATTGCCCAATAGAAATATAATGCAAGCCAGGTTTTTAATTTTCTAGTAGGCACGTTAAAGGAGTAAAAAGACACCGGCGACATTAATTTTAATAGTTTTATTTGGCTCAGTGCATCCAAAATATTATTCTAATATATAATCAATGTACAAAATATTCATGGGAATACTTTGCATTCTCTCTCTTTGTACTAAGTGTTCGAAATGTGTGGGTTTTATGCACACAGCACATGTCAATTGGGACCAGACGCATTTCAAGCGCTCAGCCATCACTTGGCTAGAGGACCTGGAACTGGGCTGGAGGACCTGAGTTCTGCCACCCCGGGCCCAGCTCCCAGGTTGTGACATGGAATTCTGTCCAAACTGGATGCTGACATAGGGTCTCGGGGTCTCAGGGACCCAACTTGCCACCCTCTGCAGGGAGTCTCCTATTTGAAATGGTGTCGGCACATTTGTGGAAGTTCCCGGGCAGGGGAGCTCGGCTCATCCCATCTTCCTGTGCATGCTTGGGGTGGGTGAGAGCCTTCCGAGGAGCCAGGTGAGGACGAAGCCACGCCCCCACCCCTGCTGCCCATGCAGGCAGGGGGCCTCTGTCAGGGCCCTGGAGGTCTGCATTTTGCGAATAGCAGTGGAGTTGCAGACTGGAGCCACCATGCTTAATTTAATGGAGTCATAGTCACCAAACCTGGGTATTTGCCTCAAAGGCACAAACGTTTTTTGAGACTGATTTGCCTCCAGAGTCCTTTTAGCTCCCCTGGCATCGGCTCCTCGCTGCCCTCCCCCCTCCCTCTGTGCCCAGTTCTTCACGGTTCCCGCCCCA